ATAATCAGTATAGCCATTATTTCATCACTTGTCATTACTTATGTCAGGAAAATTCAAAATCTTTTTTAGTTACTTTGAAATATACAGTAAGCTGCTCTTAACTATATTCTGCCTACTATAATATATATTATAGCTCATGAAATGGTTCCATTTTTCTATCTAGAATTTTGTTGCCATTAATCAATCAACATCCTTCTATTCTTTCTCTCCTCTCTCCTTTCTAGCCTCTGATAATCACTCTTTAACTATTTCTATGAGGTCTTTATTTTCTTCCCTTTCCACAAATGGAAGAAAACATGCTATTTCTCTTTTTGTGCCTGATTTATTTCACTTAGCATAACGGCCTCCAGGCTTACCTAGTTAACCTCAAATAATAGGAGTTCATCCTTTTTAATGTGTGTGTGTGTCCCATGCCACATTTTCTTTACCCATTCTTCAGTTGATGGAAACAGATTCCTTTCATATCTTGGCTTTTGTGAGTAGTGTTGCAATAAACATTGGAGTGCAGATATCTTTACAACATTCTGATTTCCTTTCCTTTGGATATATACCTAAGCAGTGGAATTGCTTGATCATATGGCCATTCTATTTTTAGTTTTCTGAGGAACCTCCATACTATTTTTCCTAATAACTGTCTATATTCTCTTCATTTTCTCTCTTCTTCTTATCTCTGTTTATGCCATCGTCTATTATTCAAACCCTTTAGAGTTTACCTTCGAGTCATTATAAAGTTTAAAAAGAAAAAAGGAAGAATTAATAGTGTTTACTTAATATAGATAGTGATTTAACTTCTAAAACCAACACACACAGACCTTAAGTGCTTCTTAGAGGAAACAGTAATTTGTTTGGTTCTGTCACAACTCTTCCTTCTGCTCGTTTTTACTGTGTAGAAAAAGTATCCACATATCCTTGAAAGGAACCTTTCTAGCATCCTAAAAAGTAAGGACTCCCTATATACCTTTTAGTTTATAATTTACATTGAAAAATTATATTTAATTTTAATATTAATGGCCTATCAAAAATATTTTAGGACATAAATTGAATTACCTTTATAAATAATCCAGCCCAAATCTCCTATTTCAGAGATCGAAACCAAAACTAGAGAGTTGAGGTAATTTGTCTAAAAGGCACACAGCTGAGTAGCAGCACAGTGGAACACTGTCCTGTGAACTTTCTATTATACTACTTGGTCCATGATGACTGTAACATCTTTAATTATGAAGCATTCTAAAGCTTATCCCTAATGTGAAGAAATTGCTAGAGAGAATAAGAAACAATGGTTTAACCATATCAGTTCAGAACTATCCACGTGGATAATGCCTACTCGGTACAGCTAACACACTCTTAGACTTTTCTCCAAGCATAAGAGAAAAAAAATCAACATATATTTCTCAGGGTTATTGGCTAGAGAATGAAGATAAGATAATATCTGGTGAGAAATTTTATCTTTGATATCAACTACAACTCACTTGCTGGGTGATAAAGGCACATTGTCTTCCATAACCCTTCTCTGTTTTTCTCTTCTGGTCTTCCCTTTTCTCCTTTTCCTCTTTAGCTCTCTATAAACACATGTACAGTTTCAGAAGGCAATAATAACTCAAGAACATTGTTAATGAAAGGAGACCCCTTGTGGAAGCCATGCATTTAAAAAATAGACCGTAGTTGTTTTCACTTTAATCAGCAGGTTAGATCTACTACAGGACTGGTAAACTATTACTAGATTTTTTTTTTTTTCTGAGAGAGATTTTTCCTATATGGCATGTGCACTCGACAGAGAGACAGAGAAACAGAAAGTGAGAAATCATCCCCAGGGGAATGGCCATGCCACAATCCCTTCTCCTCCATTCTCCTCTCAGGACTTTGCACACACATGTACATGAGCCCAGTGTGTTTTAAGTCACCAGGTCTGGAACTTGAACCACAGTTAACTACGTGGCAGTCCAGTGACATAACCATTACACTATCTGCTGGTCCCTGGGAGTTATGGGTCATATCTAGCCCACTGCCTGCACATTGTATGTGCTGTAGGTTAGAAAATACTTTTGAATTTAAAATGATGAAAACAATGTTCTTGACAAAAAATCATACTCCGTGGTCTGAAAATTTATAAAAAATTCAGTTTCTGGTATATAAAGATTTAAAAGAACATAGTCATCCTTATTTGTTTATGTAGCCCTGCTTTCAAACTACAGTAAGAGTTGAATGGTTACAGGACCAACAGATGATGTAACCATTTATGGTGTTGGATTCCCATATGGCTGACCATAGTTTGAGTCCCAGACCCAGTGGCTTGAAACTCACAACAGGTGCATGTATGTGTGTGCCCAAGATCCTGGGAGGAGAATGAATTGTGCTGTGGTTTCCCCCACCCCACCCCCCACCCAGGGGGGTGATTTCTTGCTTTCTGTCTCTGTCTTTCTTTCTCTCCAGCAAACTCATGCACCCTACAGGGAAAAAAAAAAAAAGAGAGAAAGAGAAAGAAAGAAGAAAAAAAAAGAAAATCTCTTTCTCTCAAAAAAAAAAAAAAAGCAGAATGGTCGTAACAAGGACCCGATAGCCTACAAAAACCAAGAATCTATTATGATTATTTGCAGAAAAAGCTTCCTGACCCATGACCAAGAACACAAATCATTACATTGCCTCCTGCTCATCCTACTGCCTATATCTTCAGCCCTAAAATGCTAAAATGCTGGCTTGAACTTCTTTTCTCCCAGCTCAAGAAAATATGGCATTTAAAGTAAAGACAGACACATTGATAAGTGAAACACAGTATAGACACCAGAAACAGGCTCACACATAAATGGAAGACTGTCAGAAACAGGCTCACACATAAATGGACGACTATAATTGGCACATGTCCAAAGATAAGTAATGGTAGAAAAGATGCTTTTTTAAAATGTCCTGAAACAATCAGATATCTATATGCAAAAAAATCAACTTTGATTCATATCTCATGGTATATAAAAACATTTATTTAACTGAGGCATCTAAAAATATTTATTTAAATGAATTATAAACTAAACGTAATACCTAGAACTATAAAAGTTACTGAAAAAAGTGAGAGAAATCATTTATTACCTTGGATTAATCCAAGATTTTATATAAATAACACCAAGTGTATTTTATAATGGAACACAAATAAGGACCCTTTATTCTTTCTTTCTTTCTCTCTCTCTTTTTTTTTTTTTGAGAGCTTTTTGTTAGTATAGGGTGTACACTTGCCAGAGAGACAGAGAGAGATAGACAGCAAGAAATCACACCCCCGGGGGGCGGGGGAATAGCTGTGCCACAATCCCTTCTTCTCCACTCTCTTCTTGGGATCTTGGCTATGCACACACACACACACACACACACACACACACACACACACACACACATGTCCGGCATGAATTTTAAGCCTCCAGGTCCAGGACTCGAACTGTGGTCAATTACATGAGAATCCAGTAACCATTACGCCATCTGCTGGTCCCTGAAGACCCTTTTTAAACTTAAAACTTTCTCTTCTTCAAAGGCATTGTTAAGAAAATAAAACTACAAGCCAAAGACAGAGAGAAAATGTTTACACAAATATTTCCGCAAAAATAGTTATGTAACTTAATCCCATAAATAATAAAAAAAATCTTCAAACCTCAATAAAAAGAAAATGAACAACCCATTCAAAAAAAGAGCAAATAGTTTAAACATAGATTTCACCAAAGAAGATGAATGGATAACAAGAATGCCCATGAGAAAATAAACAGGGGGACCCGCAGGTGGCATAGTGGTTAAGGCACTGAACTTTCACATGGCTGACCATGGCTTAGTACTGGACCTGGCAGTTTGAAAATCATGCTGAGTGTGTGTGTGTGTGTGTGTGTGTGTGTGTGTGTGTGCCCAAAATCCTAAGAGGAGAATGGAGGAGAAGGGACTGCAGTGTGGACTTCCACACCCCACTCCCCCCGCCCCCAGCCCCCTGGAGGATGATTTCTCAATTTCCCCCTGTCTTTCTCCTGCAAGCACACATGCCCTGCGGTAAAAATCTTAAAAAAAAAAAATTATAATTATAAAAATTAAGTGGGGCCGGCAGGTGGTGTGGAGGTACAGGGAGTTGGACTCCCACATTACTCACCGCAGTTTGAGTTTCCACACCCCACTCCCCCCGCCCCCAGCCCCCTGGAGGATGATTTCTCAATTTCCCCCTGTCTTTCTCCTGCAAGCACACATGCCCTGCGGTAAAAATCTTAAAAAAAAAAAATTATAATTATAAAAATTAAGTGGGGCCGGCAGGTGGTGTGGAGGTACAGGGAGTTGGACTCCCACATTACTCACCGCAGTTTGAGTCCTGGACCTGGCGATTTGCTGTCTTACTTTCCCATTCTCTCTTTTACTCTGTCCCTCTCCGGTCAAATTAAAATAAACAAATAAATAAAGTTAAATGAAATAATTCATTTTTAAAAAAAATCTTTAAGTGAAAAGAAGAACTAAATTTTTTTTGTTTGTTTGGAGAGGTTTTTGCTATAGGGCGCATGCGTTCCCCAGACAGAGACACAGAGACAGAAAGTGAGAAGTCACCCCCCCAAGGGGGATGGCCATGCCGCAATCCCTTCTGTTAACTGGCTCCTTTGATAAGAAAGACAAATTGGAGTTATTTTGAAGTAGAATGAACATTACTTTAATGATAGATTGGTTTTGGCAGAAACAAATTGAGAACATATATGAGGAGTCCTAAAAATTGCAGAAATGCAGAAAGTCATTATATTCCAGAATGCAATGACTTATTTCCATTGTTCAATTTCAAGAACCAAAAAATTATGATTACTTTTACTAATCCAGCTGTGAAAGAGAAGAAATTGAGAAATGGTTACTCTTGAAGTAAAAAAGTTTTTGAGAAGAATAAAATTCAGAACACTTGTACCTTATGGAGTATTCTTCATGATATGAAGGATTCCATAATAAATATCAGTAGCTTTAGTATATCCCAAGACAAGATTGATGTGATTGAATGAAGGCAGCGTGCTTCTCTAAATGAGGTGAGGTATTTGAGCGAGCAGGGGTTGGACACCCATGGGGTTAGCTATGTGGTCCTGCAGACCATTCCACATTGTAGTCTCACTTTCATGTTCTTCACATTGTAGTGGGGAGGAACAGGCTAGAGAAATAACAGAGGAAAAGAATGTTACACTTCAGTCCACTTCAAAAGCAGCATTAGATAATGTGATAGATTAATGTTCCAAATGTAGAATTTTCTGTCCCTTAAAACACAAAAGTACTCTCAGGGAATCAGAAGGAGCTGTCACTGTGCTGTGCCTGCCAAGCCTATGTAAATGTCTGTTGGCTGCCATCTGTGTTGGACTGTATTTGTAGTCTCACGTAGAATAGAAAATGGCTACAGCAATGAAATGCAAAATGGTTTGAGTATAAACATCTAGTGGCAACTTTCTGTGCCATTTAGAAATTAGCTTTTATTAATGTTATTTTATTTTTTTAGAAGAGATAGATGTTTGCTATAGGGAACATGCACTCGCTGGAGAGACAGAGAGACAGAAAGGAGAAATCACCCCCCAGGGGGATGGCCATACCACAATCTCTTCTTTTCCAGTCACCCCTCTGGATTCTGGGAACACATGCACATGCAATTGGTGTGAGTCTTAAGCCACCAGGTCCGGGACTTGAACCACAGTCGACTACATGGGAGTACAGTGACCTAACCATTTCTCCACCTGATGGTCTCTATTATTGTTATTATTAAAGAATTTACCTGATTATAATATTTCATGTTCTGAGCAAGACTTCCAAAATCATAAGCTCGAAGTATTTCCTTAGCTTCTAGAGATGGCTTAAATTATCAAACAAACAAAAAACCACAGTAAGCTAGACCTTTCAATTTTGTTCTTTATTTGAGGTGGCCACACAAAGGACTTACAATAAACCTTCTACAATAAAATGGGAAGTGAAATTCCTATTTTAACTAGAAGGAAAAATACCATTAATAGGGAAAATTTAACTTTCTCATCTTATTCTACCCACAAGCATTTGTCCCAGTCTAAGGTAAAGTAATATGCTGAGACTGTCTAGTCCCTCTGTGGTCTTATTAAGTTTAATTTTCCCTGTCCAGGTACAAGTTAGATCAAAACACACATGAGGATCACCAGTGCTTTCCAGGGGTAGCCTGTCCTTCAGTTTTATGGTGTTGGTTTGTAAGTCCAGTTGTAAGATTTACAGAGTATCTGCAGAAAATGTCTAGGCTGAATAAATGCTCATATTATACATACAAAATGGGCTTCATGCAATTTAAATACTTTGAAAGTGGTGAAACTTATGACCTTTAGTTTCATATTGTAGTACTCTAAACAAGTATTCTTTCTTCATTTTTGACTGTCAGGCCTCAGATGACCAGTAGAAATGACACTTGTATTTCAAAGTAAACAGTTAAATATAATATTCTATTATTTTAACTCTAAGGTTGCAAAATGAAGATAAATGAAGATAGCTATGAAAATGTCCTTTTTTATAGTTTTTACTGAATTTTTCTTTCATACTGATTTTTGAATCAAACATAATCTGCAATGACCTAGAACAATTCATAGTATATGTTCTCTCTGGATTAAAGATTTAATTGTCTGTCAACAAACAGAAGAGAAGATACTCTGATGGTACATGAACCTATCAGCAGCTCAAGACAGGACAAAAATTCTTAAAACCAGAAAACAAAGCCTAGAAGAAAATCAGCAATGTTTCAGTCAAAAGTCATAAAATGCTATTTCACCAGTTGAGTCTCATGTACTTTATCTTCTATTGTCCAATTTTCCTGATTAAATTCTGGGATATAATATTCAACTCCAGACTTGTCCCTATGATTAAGTTTGCCATTTTCTTAGTTTTTGAACTCTTTATTTCTGTGTGTCTGTATTTAATTTTCCTGGCATAGCACTCCCTTCAGAACTTCTAGGAGATCTGGTCTGCTGTTGGTAAATTCTTTCAGGTTTACCTGAGAATGTTCTTGTCTTTTCTTCCCATATGAAGGATAATCTTGCTGGGTAGTGTTCTTGGTTGAAATTGCTTTTCCCTTAACACTTTGAATATATTTTCCCATTCTTTCCTCACTTGCATTGTTTCTGATGAGAGGTCCGCTGTCCACCTGATGGGATATTTTTTGTAGGTAACTGGACATTTCTCTCTTAGCAATCTTAGAATCTTGACTTTCTCTGTGGTTTTGGTCAATCTGGCTATAATGTGTCTTGGAGAAGAACTTCTTGAGTTGATTCTATTTGGGGTCCTTTGTATTTCTTGGGACTGGATCTTTGAATGCCTCTCTAGGTTTGGAAAGTTTTCTTCCAGGATTTCATGGAATACATTATCAATGCCCTTATGAATCTCTTTGTCTTCTGGAATACCAATTATCTGGACATTTGGATGTTTGATGGTATCTAGTATTTCTTGTATATCATTCTAATTTTGGGGGGTGATGTTCTCAGTCTTTGTGGTGGATTTTTCTAGCCAGTGATTCTATCTTCTACATCTGAGATTTGATTTTCTGTAAAATCTAGTCTGCTTTTAATATTTTTAAGGGAGGTTTTGACTCTCTGTATCATAGAATTCATCTCTAACTGGTCCATTTGATTCTTTTTTATAGTGCGTATTTCCTCTTTTAGATCTTGCAAAGATTTCCTCACCTTCTGAAACTCATCAGTTCCTTTCTCCTGCCTCTTTTGCAGTTTGTTGTCTCTCTTCTCTTCCATCTCTGTTAGCTTTGTCACTATGAATATTCTAAATTCTTTATCTGACATTTCCATAGGTTTCATTGTACTATCTGAGGATGAAGAGGAGTTATTCTTTTCACCTGGAGCAGAGGTATTTTCTTGCTTTCCCATATTCCTGGTGACCCTGTAGTGATATCTAGTTATCTGATGATGGTGCATTTCTTCCTAATTCTTGAAGTTCAATCTGAGTGTTCACAGGTGTGCAGGAGGAGGTGATCTGCATTCTCTCTTCTGTTCTGTTTTCACTTTTTGTGTATCAGATTCAGAGGGAATAGAGAAATATTCTGACCATAATCATATTGAGATGTTTGAATCCTGTTCACTCAGACATGTCTAGACATTCAGAGTGCAGAGGCTGAGCAGCCAAGAGATAAAGATAAATAAAAAATGAAAAGAATTAGAGAAGAGGAAAGAAGAAAATATAAAAGAAAAAATAAAAAAGGTAATAAAGAAACTTTAGATTTTAATTTTTAAAAGCAAAATATAAAAACTGTGTGGCATGCACACACGGTGAGCGACAGCAATATTTTACAGCTCAAGTTTAGTATCCATGTCAGGATGGGTCTGGGTTTGTGCCTTTCCTAAATGAAATGGGGAAAGACACAAATTAGCACAATAAAGGAGGGGCTTGAGAACCCAGAGAATACTTTACCTTAAAAAATTTTTTTTAAATTAAAAGACACAGGGACACACAGAAAGAAACAGAGAGAAATGAAATGAAAGAGACAAAGATAGCCCTACACACTAGAAATAAATCTGGAGGGAGAAGTCTCTGCAGAAAATCTTCATTTTTAGTCAAGGAAAGCATTATTTCACAGCTCAAATTCAGTATCCATGCCAGTCCATGTATTCTTTTCATTAATGTAAATTCGACATGATTTTTAGCATAATTTTCGATCATTAAAATGAAATGAGAAATAACAGGACTTTTTAACATAAATTTTAAAATAATTGTTCACTTCACGTTTTCAGTGATTTGTGCAAAGAAATATTTCCATAAAAGCTAATAAAATATACTAACCCCATGAAATGTCACCAATATCTGTGTTGAAATCTTACTCTTAAGTGAATACAGAATCTTCTTACACCCACTTACCAATTCTAAGGGGGAAATCTGCTGTGTAAGAGAGAATTGATATCTCTGAGATAATGAACAGTGGAAAAAAGGAGCAGGAAACTCTGGTTTCAGGTTATAGAGCACCTAAAGATCTGAGTTGTCTCATCCAAGAAGCCCCAGATACCAGCATAGAGTAGTGCACATTGTACCCAATCTCCTTAAGGTGACATTTGCATATGACCATGAACTGAGAGAGGAAGATGTCAGAGGCTTGTGAGAAATCTGTTTTCTGACCCATGAAAGGGTCTTGAGTTCAGCTCGAAAGTACTTTGCTGAAAATCTCTCACTTAGCTTCAATTTTAGCCAAAGGGATTAACGATAACACTTGTCCTTCAGATTTCTCCATGCGTTATTCATAGCAGAATGATTTCTTAACTCTGACATGCTCAGATGGAACTCCTCAATGGAGAAACTATTTAAAGACTGTTAGTTTAACTTCAACATTCACATAACTTTTGTATTAGAGCCCATAAATATGCCGAGTAAAATTAAAAGGGATTTTAACCTCTTTCCAGCCACTTCTTTCAATTATGGTTTTAAGATTTTATCCCTATGGAGCCTCATAATTATAATTTACTAGGGCATAACAAATAGTAGCAATAGAAGCCACAAAAGGTCCTACATGTAGCAATGGCATGACAAATGTTTACACACACAAATATGTATGTCTGTTTGTGAATTTGGGATAGGAGTAGTGCATGCCTAATATCACTTTCCTCTGCTAACCTTTAATAATTCTGCCTGGGGAATTATTGGCCCATAGGAAAATAGACAAATGGAAATGCAGTAGTTTTATCAATAGCTGAAGATTCTCTGTGTTGTCATATATGCAGTTATTCAACGCCATTGCCTTGGAAGAATATTCCATTCTAAGAACCTACACCGTATATATTCACTTTATTGTTGATAGCATCTGGTTTATTTCTATTGTATAATATTGTCAATACGGTTTTGATTTCTGTTTATTCCTAGGAGTTGAATTTCTGAGTCTCAAGGTAGATACGTATTTAGCTATAATAGACATTTCCAAGCCATTCTTCAAAGTGATTGTACTATATAACTTCCACTAGCAGGGGTTTTGTCTTTCCATATATAGTCAAGTTGTTGTCGCTCATACTTATTTGGACCATTCTAATAAGTGTGTTTAGACTCAGCCTGTAAGAAAATATTTAGAATTTTAATTGGGAGAGTATTAAGAGTATAATTCAATTTGGGGAAAGCTGATGTCAACAATACCAAGTCTTAAATCATGACAATGCCGTATCTTTTCTCAGGTTTAGCTTGTTTTTAATTTCTCAAAATAATATTTTATAGTTTTTAATACACAAGTTGGACACATATTTTCTAGCTTTATTTCAAAGTATTTTATTTTTTATTTTCTTACTTTTTAGTTGTCTGCTAAAGGGCACATGTGCTGGCCAGAGAGATACAGAGAAAGAGAAAGTGAGAAATCATCCCTCAGGGGGATGGCCAGTGCCACAATCCCTTCTCCTCCATTCTCCTCTTGGGATTTTGGGCTTGCATCCACAAGCACCTGGCTTATTTTTCAAGCTGCTGGGTTTAGGACTTGAATCATGCTGTTGCCCATGTGGAATCCAATGCCTTAACCATCTCATGTCACCTACTGGTCCATATTTCAAGGTGTTTTATATTTTTGATGCTATTATAAAGGTATTTTTTAATATATAATGTTTTCTCCTTTAAAAATAATAACTTTTATTGTGGAAAATAAAAAACACGTGCAAAAGTAAATACGATGGATATCTATTATTACCTATAACAACAATCAACTCATGGCTGATTTTGTTTCCTCTTTACCTTCAAGTACTCACTCCTGCAATAAATTATGTTGAAGTAAATCTAAAAACACCTTTTCTTCTGTAAATATTCTATTATATATTTTTAAAAGAAAAAGACTTTTTATAGCACATGACTATAAAATGTTAAAACTGTTTTAACATTTCTGGGACCAGCCGTTATCGTAATGGCTATGTTGATGGACTCCCATGTAGTCGACCGCGGTTCGTATCCTGGACCTGGTGGCTTAAAACTCACACCAGGTGCGTGTGCGTGCGTGCCCAAGATCCTGAGAGGAGAATGGAGGAGAAGGGATTGTGGCATGGCCATCCCCCCTGGGGAGTGATTTCTCGCTTTCTGTCTCTCTGTCTCTCTCTGTCTGGCGAGCACATGCGCCCTACAGCAAAAAAAAAAAAAAATCTCAAAAAAAAAGGAACTGTTTCAACATTTCTTATTATCATAAAATATAAAATAATTGTTTACATTATCTTAATTATCTCATTCTTTTTTCCGCTTCAGTTGATTTTTGTGCTAATCGAAATCCACGTAAGGCTCACCTGCTGCATTTGGTTGAGGTATCTCTGAATTTTAATCTACTAGTGTATCTTTCCACTTCATATTTATTTATCATTTTTAAGTTAGAAAATACACAGTAAAATTGACTTTTAAAATATTGGTGTGCAGGTCATTAATTTTTTATACAGTTATATTTCTGTGTATAACAATTATATATCAATTGAAAGTATAATTAAACTTTATGCTAAGAATGAAATATCTTTGAGTTGTCTACACTGAAACTAATATGTGACCTGTTATGATAATAATATAGTGACTATAACTATAGCAATGATATTATAGTAATAAAGTGCTCTTTCACCTTAACTATTCCCCCAACAAAGTGTTCCTGCCTTCAAACTACCAGATAGTTCAAATATCAGGGAAGTTGGTAGACGTCCTTGAAATTTTCGAAAATTGTTGCCTCAAGGTGTGCGTATGCACACATGCATGTACATGCACAGGTAACCATATGATTCTGAAAGTTTCAAGGATACCCAGATTATAAAAAAGAATTTGTTTTCATTGTAAGTGAAATAGGAAGCCACAAAAGTGTTTTAAATAATGGAATTGCTGGAACCAGCAGATGGCATAATGGTTGTCACTGGACTCCGACATAGTCAACCATGGTTCCAGTCCCTGACCCAGTGACTTAAAACTCTCACTGGGTACATGTGCATGTGTGCCCAAGATCCTGACAGGAGGATGGAAGAGAAGGGATTGTGGTATGGCCAAGAGCCATAAAGTAAGGGGGTGATTTCTCACTTTTTGTCTCTCCATCTCTCTTTATCTCTCTGGTGAGCACATGTACGCTATAACAAAATTATCTCTCTAAAATTAAATAAATGAATAAATAAATAATGGAATCACATTATCAGATTGGAGTTTTATTGAAATTATTTAACATACATGGGAAACTGAACAATCACGTCTAAAAATAAATGTGGAGAGAGAAATGGGAAATATATGAGTTGGCTTGACAAAGCAAGTACATTGATAATAGACAAACTGGAGGTATTTGCAGTAGAATTAACTTGACTTGATTGTAAGATTGACTTTGCAAAAGAATAATTTGTAGAGAACATTTGTGATGCATCCTTAAAATCATAGAAACAGCATGGTTAAGAAATAAAATGACTTATTTTCACAGATCCTTTTCAAGGAGTAGAAAAATTATGTTTATCTTTATTAATTCTGTAGTGAAAGAGAAGAAATCAGTGTGGTTACTCCTGAAAAAAATATATTTTAGTCAGAATAAAATCCAGAACACTTTTATACATATGTAGAATTATTCATGATATGAAGGATTTCATAATAAATATCAACAGGAGCTCTACATCCAAAGATAAAATCTATATGATTGAATGTACGTAATTTTTTACTATAAATGAGGTTAGGTATTTGAGTGAGTAGGCTTTCAGTATCTTGGGGAGAAGTCACACTGTCATGTAGACCATACCATATTGCAGTCCTCACTTTCATGTTCTTCACACTGTACTGGGGAGGAATGGGCTAAATGAAAGTGACAGGAGAAAAGAAAATTACACTAAGTCCACTCTAAAAGTAACATCAGCTAATATGGCAAGCAAATGTTTCAAATGTAGAATTTCCTGTCTCTCTGAACACGAAGTACTCTAGACACAGAATGTAAAATGGATACAGAAATGAGATATGAAATATTTGAAATATAAACATTTAGTGGCAACTTTCTGAGTCCTTTAAAAAATCAACTTTATTTTTTTAATTTAATTCTTTTTTTTTTTTTTGGAGAGGTTTTCGCTACAGGGCGCGTGCGCTCGCCACACAGAGAGAGATATAGAGACAGAAAGCGAGAAATCACCCCCCGGAGGAGATGGTCACACTGCAATCCCTTCTCCTCCATTATCCTCTCGGGATCTTGGGTACGCACGCACACACACCTGGCGTGAGTTTTAAGCCACCGGGTCCAGGACGCGAACCGCGGTCGACTACGTGGGAGTCCAGCAACATAGCCATTACGCTAACTGCTGGTTCCCTAATTTAATTTTTTAATATATTCAATCACTGTATATCATTACAGCATGCAAAATAACTTTTCCTAGCGTGAATACACGGTTTATTAGTCCAGTCAAAGATATCATATATGTTATCAGCCATAGATAATTTTCCATTTTTATGTCCCTTAAATGTTTCACTTCTTTCTTTTCCTCTTGATTCCCTTCAAATTTACCTGGTTATAATGTTTCATGTTCTGAGCAGGACTTCCAAAATCATAAGCTCGAAGTACTTCCTTAATTTCTAGATATGCCTTAAATTAAGAAAAAAAGTCCAAGTAAAATACGCCTTTAAAATTTGTTCTTTATTTTAGGCAGCCACACAAAGTAATTACATAAACCTTCTAAAATGGGAAATAAAATTTGTAACTAGAAAGAAAAATATCATTAATAGGGAAAATTTAACTTTCTCATCTTATTTTACCCATAAGTGTTTATTCCAGTTTAAAGTAAAGTAATATATTAAGATGATCTATGTCGTCTGTGGTCTTATTACATCTAATTTTCACTGAGCAGGTACATGTTAGGTCAAAATGCACCTGAAGATCACCAGCGCTTTCCCATGGTAGCCTGTCTTTCAGTTTTCCTGGTGTTGATTCTCTTGTGTTTAGGCTAGCTCTGATACCCATAGTATCCTGCAGAAAATGTCGAGGCCGAGACTAAATGTTTGTATCCTGTGAGTAAAATGGGCTTCGTGCAATTTGACTACTTTGAAATTGGTGAAATTCCTGTATTTTAGTTTCCTATTTTTTTTTTTTTTGGAGAGGTTTTTGCTATAGGGCGCGTGTGCTCGCCAGACAAACAGAGAGAGACAGAGAGATAGAAAGCGAGAAATGACCCCCCAGGGGGGATGGCCACGCCACAATCCCTTCTCCTCCATTCTCCTCTTGGGATCTTGGGCACGCACGCACACGCGCCCGGCGTGAATTTAAGCCACCGGGTCCAGGACTCAAACCGCAGTTAACTATGTGGGAGTCCAGCAACATAGCCATTACGCTAACTGCTGGTCCTAGTTTCCTATTTTTAATACCTTGAACAACTGTTGTGTCTGCATTAATGACCGAAAGGCCTCAGGTGACAAGGAGAAAGGACATTTGGATATCAAAATACGCTTTGAGTTAAACCTTCTATGATTTTAGCTGTCTGTGTTGCACAATGAAGATAAAAACAACTGTGAAAATTTCAATTTTTATAGTTTTCATTGAACTTTTGTTCTATATCAATTTTTGATTGAAATATAATTTTCAGTGACCTAGAACAATTCATATTACAGGATTTAACTATCAACAAATAGAGAAGATATTCTGTTGAAAGAATCTGTGCTCCTTTTGCATTTATGAGGAATCCTTTTTAATATGAGTAATTTCACCTTTTCATTCATATTTCTGTAAATAAGGTACTAATCTAAATATGCTTTATAGCAACTTTAAAAAGCATTATCTCTCTACTGACATGAGAAAACTATTTTCCACCCTTCGATACTGTTCATTGTCCTCATCTACCCTCTCACCTCCTCTCTCCAAGGGACCAATATACTAGTAGAGGAAATTTGGAAAACTGTTAACTCTAGTTTATTGTCTATTTTGTTATATTGTCTATAATGTTGAACATATATTTCATATTTGAAATTTGTAAACTTTAAAACACACTTTTTAAAAATATGTGATCAAAGCTTTTGAAAAGCCTTACCTGCTTGTAATGTAAAAGATTTTGAAGAGATGTTCCTCCTGGGTTCTGTGACAAATATACATCAATTCGACTCTAAAAAGAAATATTAACAGTCATAATTTCATCTCAGTTGCTTAAAACAAAATGAAAAATTCTATTGTTATAGGATGCTAATTATAACAAATCAATAAGCAAGTAGAACTACACATAAGCTTTTGGTAAATCGAATAATTAAATTTACTGCATATTCTATTGGATCATCAGAAAAGTCATGAGGCATTTTTACATAGAAAAATACATCATGACTTTTTGGACGACCGATAGTACCTAACCTATGGTCACTGTGTTTATTCAGAGAAAGCATTAATTATTTTATCAGAGGGCTGGCCCCATAGTGTAGGGATTAAATGCTAAGCAGTAGTCCCTATTCCATTCTCAGCCCTGCCGGCTTGAAAAACATGTTTGGCAAATGTACGTGTGTGCCCAAAATCTTGAATGGAGAAATGGAAAAGATTGAGGTGTGACCACATGCACTGGGGGTATGTTTGCCCTCTCCCCTTCTCCCTGTGTCTCTCCTCCTGGTGATTGCATGTGCCCTCTGGCAATCAAAACAGAATTTAATCACATTACTTACTATAAAGTTTAGAATTGATTATCTTATCAAGACTATATTTTGGGACCAGCAGTTGGCTTAATGGATACATGTTGCTGGACTCTCATGTAGGTCTATCACCGTTTGAGTCCCAAATCCGGTGGCTTAAACTCACGCTGGGCGCGTGTGCGTGCGTGCCCAAGATCCCGAGAGGAGAATGGTGGAGAAGGGATTGTGGCATGGCCATCACCCCCTGCGGGGTGATTTCTTGCTTTCGGTCTCCTTGTCTCTCTCTTTCTAGCAAGTGCACACGCCCTGTAGCAAAAAATAAACCTCTCCCCCAAAAAAGAAAGACTATATTTTATTTGATTATAGTTTTGAAATATTGAAAGTTCATGTAAAAGGCATTTCGCTGAAATACATGGTGTTCTGTGAAGTCTCTTTTGTGTTCCCTTGATCCCACTGCTAACAGTGTTACACTGCTTTATCTGTATGACACCATTTTGGTCCAGCTTATCCTAAGGTAGTGCAAGATGTCTTTATATTTATAAATATACAGCAAGACATTTTTTAGAAGAATTATTTCTTTAATTGTGATATTATTATTATTATTATTATTATTATTATTATTATTATTAATTTGCTATAGGACACATATGCTCATCAGAGAGACAGAGAGCAGGAAAATGAGAAAGCAAGCCACCAGGTCCACCTGCAGTCGGTCAGGTTGGGATTCTAGCACCTTAACCACCATGCCATTTGCTGGCCCCCAGTCAGACATTTTTATTAAATATTGAACTTTTTTCCTATGCCATACTTATACCATAAGTGTAATGACTTTTTTTGGACTGAGCTGTGTAACAAAGATATTGTAAAGAAAATGATGGATAGTTGGGACCAGCAGATGGCAAAATGGTTATGTTGTTGAACTCCCATGTAGTCAACTACAGATCAAGTCCCATACCTGGTAGCTTAAAACTCATACCGGGCACATGTGCATGCATGTCCATAATGTTGGAAGAAGACTGGAGAAGGGATTGTGGTGTGGCCATCCCCTTTGGGGGTTGATTTCTCACTGTCTCTCTGTCTCTCTGTCCTTCCAGAGAGTGCACGTGCCCTATAGCAAAAATCTCTCAAAAAAAAAAAAAAAAAAAAAAAGGAAAAAAAATGATGGATAGTAATTAGTGTGGCTTTGCAATTACCTTAACTTGAGAGATTAATTGATGTCTTTCTCTCCATAGACTTTTAATGAGCAGAGGAAATCAGGAACACTAACAGGCCCTTTACTCAAAAGGTGCAAGTTTTATCTACCCGCAGTCCTATGTCGGAACTTTGCAAGGCTCAGAAGGGTCCGTGTTGCATTCTATTCTCTTTCATTTCTCCATTCCTGTCTGGATTTAATGTATGCATGCACCTGTGCCTGATGTGGTTTTCAAATCTTGAGGGTCAAGGTTTCAACCGTGCTTACACATGAAAATTTGGCTTTTACCACAGGCTATGGAACTGGCCTCAGAATTCTCCTTAAATATCATTGTTTGGTTCTTTTGTTTTGTTTTGTTTTGTTTGTTGCCAGAGGGTATGTGTGCTTGTAGAGACCAAGAAAGAGAGAGAGAGAGAAAGTACCCTCCCAATGGGGAATAGTCCTCTGCAATCTCCTTTTCTCCATTTTTCCATTCCTTCAGGATTTGGGGCAGGCACACATATGCACCTGTATTTTTCAAATAGCCATGTCATACTTGAACCATACTCAGCTGTATGGAACCTTGTTCCTAACACACAGTACTGAAGCATGTAAGCTATAGGGCCAGCCCAGTACCATTTATTTTTCTTAGCATACATTGAGACCATATTATTTCATGCATATATTTCATGTTAATTTGATATTCTTTGTGATTATATTGGTAAAGTGCTTTAGTCTGCTATCGCATTGCTTTATCTTTTTTTTTTTTTTTAATAGAGATTTTTGCTATAGGGTATGTGCACTCACCAGAGAGAGAGACAGAAAGCAAGAAATTACTCCCTAGGGAGAACTGCCACACTGCAATCCCTTCTCTTCCAGTCTCCTCTCAGGATTTTGGATATGCGTGCACATGCGCCTGGTGAGTTTTAAGCTCCTGGGTCCAGGACTTAAACCTCAGTCAACTATGTGGGAGTCCAGTGACGTAACCATTACCCCCATCTGTTGGTCTCCCATTATTGCATTTCTAACAGAAATGAAGAAAAAGAAGTCCATTCGACTCATCCTGATGACTAAAGGCATAGGGCTGGCATCAAACCAGCCTAGTAACAACATGGCTGACAGAAAAAGAAAGGGTGGTGGCCACATACAGAGAGAGAGACCAAGGGGTAGCCTCTTTTGTCTATAACAAATCACTCTCTCATGAACCAATCTTTTTTCACAAAAGTAAGAACTCACTGGAACTTATAAGATATTAATCCATTACTGAGAGTGATGACCTTGTAGTAAACTCTCTTCTGACCAGGCCTCAACTCTTAAACTTCACAAACCTGACAGTGCCCATTAGTCTCCACCTCCCAATTCCATTTCAGTGGGAATCAAATCTCAAACATACAATTTGGGGGACAAGCCATGATCCCAACTGTAGCAGTGACCCTGTAGTTATTTGAGGCCAGAGAAGGTTTTGATGTATAATTAGTAAAGTTGAAAACACTGACAATAGTTTTCAGGTAATCAGTTTCAGGAAAACAACCCTATTGTGTACACATACCATGTTTAAGCTTTCTGGATCAAATCCAAACAGAGCAAAGTTGATTTTGCCACAGATAACATCTATAGGATCGTGGTTACACACTGCAGCAGCAATCTGATTTAAAATGTTTTTTGGAAAGATTTCCTGTCCAGAAAATAAAGTCTGAAAATACATTTGAAAACAGATATTGTTTGAACTCTTAAAAGAAGAAACCTTAGAGAAATCAAATAGCAACGTTTACTTGAGCACAGAATTACTGTTGAATTAGGCAGTACTCTGAGAGGTCCACCCAGCAGTGTGGGCTGTAAGCATTTTGAGATCAGACATGGAGAAAAGTAGAACACTGACTCAACTAGGTACAGATGGGCATTCGCCTTATTTGGGCCTGGTGTGATGAGCTGTCTGCCAGTGACTGAAACCAACCTAGCTGCATGTGATTGGCTGTACTGTGGCTGGTTGTTATACTCTTAAGTGAGGTTTCAGTATGTTCATATACCAAATCAGAGCACAGTTCCTTGTGAAGGAACTCAAAATAGAAGGTAGCCTCAGGCTAATGGTCTTTTGCACAGTCAGTTTAACAGAGTGTACACACACACACACACACACACACACAAATGCCACTGTGGCAGCAAGAAATTCTAAGTCTTTCTCCATTAGTCTAAGATAGAATATTATGGAGTGCTGTAATCTAAAGCTGACACTAGGGAATTACACCCCCAATATGTGGAACTGGAATTTGAAGTACATTTTAGCAAGAGATAAATGTTTATGCTATTCTTTCAGTTCATTGTAAACTGAGTAGCCTTTCTGGAGCTGACCCAAGACACAATTTCTCACTTATGGGAATTTTAGGGCCACTGATCAAATTTAATCCTTTTGTGTGGAACAATAAGCCATAGCTTTCTGTGCTTCATGTTTGATTCTGCAGTATTAATTAAAAACATTGGATATTGGGTACAGATTAATTTTATTTAATTTTACTGTTTTAAAGACTTTTAAAATATTTGTATATTTGATCTAGAAAATTCAATATGATAAGTTCCTTTGAAGTGATCAAATAAGGCTCCTGGATTTCTTCTAATAGTTATTTAGTTTTGTTACTTAAAAGTAAAAGTAAATAGTCGCTAAAATATTTATTTTACTGTTGTTTTTTTTTTTGGGGGGGGGGAGAGGTTTTTGCTATAGGGCGCGTGCGCTCGCCAGACAGACAGAGAGAGACATAGAGACAGAAAGCGAGAAATCACCCCCCAGGGGGGATAGTCACACCACAATCCCTTCTCCTCCATTCTCCTCTCGGGATTTTGGGCACACACGCACACGCGCCCTGCGTGAGTTTTAAGCCACTGGGTCCGGGACACGAACCGCGGTCGACTACGTGGGAGTCCAGCGACATAGCCATTATGCTAACTGCTGGTTCCCAATAGTCACTAGAATATTTGACAAGCTGACATAAGATGACACTGGGAATGGGAAGTCTTGAATAACTATTAAAAATTTTCCATGTTTAGAGAAACTGCTGTAATTTTTTTTGATGCCTAATGAAAGCAACTGTTTTTTGAAATACACAGAAGTGAAGTTATATGAGTTCATTTTAAGAGTACATTTCTGATTTTCTATATTCAAATAAGAGAACTTTCAAAAAAGGGGGCACTCATTTGACTATTGGAGGTAAGAATAATAGCTTATAGAGTTAGATTGGTTTGAATAAATCTCTGTTTATAAATAAAGAAACTGAAGCTAGAAGTGGTTAAATAACATATTCAAGTTTAAACAGCCAATTACTAACAAAGTTGAGCATATACCCTGGGTGAATTGAGTTGAACTATTTCCATTACACATTCCTACTTTGTTTACATGCCTAACAAATTTATTCTAATTGACAGAGTTGAAAAATGTTACATGTATAGATGATATGTGTTCTCAACAATATTAATGAGAGAGATGGCATGCATACCTCAAGTAATACTGTAGGAAGCTGTAAAAGTATTCTTAGAGCACTTCTTATGTGTCTAAAGTAGAAGCCTGGAGCTAATGCAAAAAAGGTTTTTATTCGTTGAGCCAACTTTGGAATGGTAGAAAATGCTATGAATGCTGAAATAAAATAAAAAACACCCTATTAAAATTATTTTTATGTGCTAATGACTATTAATATATAAATTATCTACATTAGTAAGGATTATATAAGAAATTTAAGTTCAGTAAACTTAAACATATGTATAAGATTTTTGTAATGAGAACTTGTCTCTGCATTCTACATTTCACTCATAATAAATCATGCTTATTTTTCTAAAAACTATTTTGATGATTCATAAGACAGTAAATCTTTTTTATTACCTATTCCCTCACAGTTGACCATTCATGTTGCTTTACATTATTTGCCATCCTAAAAACTCTGAGATTACATTTGTATTCATAAGTATTTGGGGCATGACTCTTTCATCCTTCAAATCTAGGTTTATTTGAAATTTCAGATCAGCTGATATTCTATTATCATTGTCTCTATTTTGACTCCCCCAAACCAATGTTCTTACCTCTGCCATAAACACAAAAAAATTCAAGTAATGGGCAAGCTTACCACAAAGATTAAGAGTCTAAACATACCAATAATGTTGCCTTGAGAATGTGCCGCATAATATATCTGTTCCTGTCCAGTTTGCTTTACAATAAAGTTGATTAAAGCCGGGAGATCATATTTTGCCATTTCATCAAAACTATGAGAATTTAAAGCAAAATAAGTCAACCTACAGTTTACCTTATATACATGGTATTTAGACAGATGAGCAAGTACATTATTTTTTTCAATATTTTTAAAATCGCAGTATACCTGTAGATTTCTATTCTGCATTGCATTTGTCTTCTGAAACCTCGAAGTTCTGTCTTAAAGTAACACTGAATATTTTGTATAGTGGGATTACATTGCATTAATATATTTACTATGATTTGACAGTCTATAAAATCAAAGTATTTTGGTTGAAATATCTATTTTAAAATTAGCAACAAGAGGAACTGTACAAACCACGTGTATAAATCAAAATGATGTGTCATTCTATTGTACCTGAAGCTCCAGAATTCTTTTGACTCTGGTGATAGGTGTATGTGCTTTCGAGAATATGTGTTTCCTCTGACGTTCCCCATCCACACGTCATAACCAGCATCTGCCAGAATAAAAGCCAGGCTGTTGCTGGGCAGGTTGGAAACCCAGCAACTGGCAGATGTAAGAAAGCCATGCATTAAAAACACCACAGGCCTCAGAGCTGAAAGGGAAATAAAGGAAATTATGAGTAAGAGTGCCCTTACAATATTGCTGTTTTATTCTAAAGAAAAGAGAAAATTTGAACTATTTTGCCTGCCACGCAATCTAACCTGCTATGAAAACATAAATAGAATAATAGCTTTTTAGGACTTTGATAAGTAATCTCAGGTATAAATATACACATTTTTTAAAATGTCCTCAGTTTCAATAATCATGCCTACAAGATGGCATTGATGCATGAAGCACACATGACCCGGAAATCACAGAATTACAATTAAAGAATTTTTTAAAGGATTATTTATTTTATTTTATTTATTAGATCGTCAGTAGTCATGACGTATTTTTCTATGCACAAATGCATCATGACTCTCCCAACGACTTAATATTATTATTATTACTATTTTAATTTGCTATAGGGCATGTGTGTTCACCAGAGAGAAACAGTGACAGAGAGAGAAGGAAAGGGAGAAAGCCAGTCTCCAGGTCCAGGATTCAAACTGCTGTTGGCCATGTGGGAGTCCAGCACCTTAAACACCATGTTACCTGTTGGACCCTGAAAGAAATTTTTAAGTCTATTGCTGGCCCCAGCTATTTCTCAGTTTGTTCCAAGTGTACAGTTCACATGATTTCAAGAAGCAAGCTGTATAAAGTTCTGAATTTACATCCAAAAGATTAACATTTTTTGACTGAACAAAGAATATTGATCTGATGTAAGTTTGGTTCTATATTTTCTTCAACATTTATTCTACAACAAATGGATAATGGGAAAAATCTTTCTGCATTGGAAATAACACAACTCCCGTAAAGCAAAAAAGAAGAAAATATGTCATGTAAGACTTTTTGAACTAGATGTTGTGAAACAGTAAATAAATGAAATTTTATGTGGAAAAAAATAAATTTCCGCCACTATTGTTAAATGATAATGGAGATCTGGCCCTATAGTCCAGTGGTTAAGTGTTGTACATTGGGAATTGGATCCTCACGTCTGACTGCAGTTTAAATTCTGGACCTAATGGCTCGAAAACACGTCGTACACATGCTTGTATGTGCCCAAAATCCAGACAGAATGAAGAAGTGGAGCAAAGAGATTGTGGCTTGACCAAACCTCATTGGGAGGTACTTTCTCGTTCTCTCTGTTGTACACATACACCCTCTGACAAAAAATATACTTGTAACAGGTACTGAAAAATCTTATTTTCTTTTTATAAGAGCATATGTCTACTTATTGCCATTTTTCACTTCTGTATTTTTAAAAATAATTTTTATGGGGCCAGCAGGTAGCATGGTAGTTAAGGCACTAGACTCCCACATGGTCAACCACGGTTTAAATCTCAGACCTGGCAGTTTGCTTTCTTACTTTCATTCTCTCTGTCTATCTCTCTCTCTCTCTCTGTGGTCAAATTAAAATGAATAAATAAATCTTTAAAAAGTAATAAGAATTTTTATTAGGCCAGTAGGTGGTGTGGTGGTTTGTGGTGGTTAAGTTGCTGGATTCCCACATAGTTGACACCAGTTAAAGCTCCAGACCCTGTGACTTGAAAAGTTCTCTGGGCATGTGTGTGTGCATGCCCAAAATCCCAAGAGGAGAAAGGAGGAGAACGGACTACAGAGTGTCCACCCCTAACCCTCAGGGAGAGTGATTTCTCATTTTCCCTCCCTCTGACTCTCTCCAGCAAGTGCATGCTCTTTATGGCAACAGCTTTAATAGTAATAATAATCTTAATCAGGTACTTATTAAATTCACAGAGAAAAGGAAGATGTCATATTTTTATAAATAGGAAACTTCTAAAATAGCAATATAAATTTGTAAGTTTTTGTAAACCTTATGTCTCAATACATTTTCTTCTTTTACTGATATGTAAACTGAGTACTATTGTATTCAAGCAATAAAGTATATGTGATCACAGATTCATGAATTAATCAAATAAAGACCCACCATTCTCAGTAAGAGACTTTTTCCATTATTTTAAATAATTATTTATAAAACATATGGTTTTAATGAAAAATACATTAACAATCATTATAATTATGATGCAATCGAGACATGTTAAAAAATTAGTTTTATGACCTTAAACACTGAACATTAGTATAAATTTATATTTTGTTTCAGGGAGATAGAGTAAGAAAGTAAAAAATATTTAGGGCCAGCAGTTGGCATGGAAGTTAAGGCAACTAAATCCTACATGGTTGATTCTGTAGTTCAAGTTCCAGACCTGGTGGCTTAAAAATCATGTTGGGAGCATATGCGTGCATGCCCTAAATTCTGAGAAGAGAATAGAGAAGGGATTGCAGCTCTGCCATCCCCCTTGGGAGGTTATTTCTCTCTTTCTCTTTGTCTCTCTAGTAAGTTCATGTGCCCTATAAAAAAATTTACACACACAGAAAAAAAGAAAGAAAGAAAATTATTCAATAATAAAATATATTAATGAAAATAGAGGATAGAATATAATTATATAAAACTTCCAATACTTAATAAGAACCATGATTCATATATATACTATATCAATGGTGATTGTGTTATCGATTTTCAAAAATGCGTGTATTCTATTAGATACATACAAGAGTATTGTTGGGGCCGGCAGGTGTTACAGTGGTTGAGGTGCTGAACTCCCACAAGGCCAACCACAGTTCAAGTCCTGGACCTGGCGGCTTGCTTTCTTATTTCTCTCTCTCTCTCTCTCATCAAATTAAAAAAAAAATAGTAATAATAAATACATTTTGAAAAAAAAAGAAAAGAGTGTTGTTAGTCTTATTTTAAAGTCAATATTTTTAATATGCACTAGAATATATTATTCCAAGTATTAAGATAATAACAAAAACTTGCATTATACCCTTAAGATATGTTCAGTAGTATGCAATTAAAGATCCTTTCAAGTGTCCTTTAAGGGTAATGTGATGCTTAATTTTATGTGTCAGCTTAACTTCCTATAGGTTGCCCATATTAAATATTATATCTGGGTGTCCCTGAAGGTGTTTCTAGGTAAGATTAGCATTTGAATTGGTGGACAAAGTGAGGACATTGCCCTCCCTGGGTAGATGGGCATCATCTAATCTGTTGAGGGCCTGAATAGAAAAAGAGGTAGAGGAAGAAGGAATTCACTTCACTTTCTGCCTGCCTAATGAGCTGGAACATTGACTTTCTCTTGTGTTCAGACTGGCTTCTATACCAGCAACTCTCATAACTCAGACTTCAGACTTAGACAAGAATTATGACCACCAGCTTTCCTGAGTTTCAGTTTTGGAGAGAAGATTGGGAGAATTCTCAGCCTCCGTACTGTATGAGCTAATTCTGAAGAATCAATTTGTTTCTATATATTGTATTGGTTCTATTTATCTGGAGAAATAGACTTGATATAGGCACACTAGTCAAAACTCTTAGAGATAGATACATGTATAGGGTTTCATATAAGACCAAAAGTAAGGTATTCTGGCCAGACTTGAGGAGAATGGGGACATGGCCCTGGGTCTTCTTTATTTAGAGAGAGATTTTTTTATGTAGAGTACATGTACTTGCTGGAGAGACAGAGAGACAAGGTGAAAAATCACCCCCCGGGGGTATGACCACAGCACAATGTCTTCTTCTCCATTCTCCTCTTGGGATTTTGGGCATGCACACACAAGCTCCCGGCATAATTTTTTAAGCCGCCGGGTCCAGGACTTGAACCACAGTTGAGTACATGGGAGTCCAACAACGTAAATATTATGCCATCTATTGGTCTCTGTCCTGGGTCTTTCTCTAATGAGAAGAATGTTTCATCTGTATTTGAAAGACAAATGGAAGTCAACTATGCTTTTCTCTTTTAAGAAGACACTTTAGGTGGAATAGCATTTTTGGAGACACCAACCGGAATTATTAGATTTTATTTTCCCATGAGGAATCCTGTTGACTCCCAAGATATAGCCATCTTCAGTCACAACCTCATATTCTTCACTTGGGTAATCCCAGTAGGAAATCATCTCACCCTTAAGTACAGAAGAAGGAAAAATTACTTGAACCATAACTTTAAAATATACTCAACAAATGAATTTTGACATTTTACTAAACTGTTACATTATAGCAAAAATGTGTTTTATCATACAATAATTACCTATACTTTACTGAGGTAGTAACTTACAGTTTTCAGCCAGGCTTCAGGATTCAGAGGTCTTTGATATCCAGTGAAATGATAGGTTCTTCCATATAGAGGTGTCAAGCACACTATTATTAAGACCTTCCACATTTGTATTTCCCCTGCATGGTATAAAGTTGCTAGAAATTAATTTTTCAAAGTGATATTAGAAATATTAGTAAAATCAAAGTTCTAAAAGTAGCAATAAAACATGGCAAATAGTTAAGAGCCTAAGTTCTGAAATTAACTATTGAGTTGTTTGAAAAGTTATGCTATATTTTTTCTGTTTTTCTATGCAAAAATTATGTCATAACTTTTCCAATGACCCGAAAGTTGCATTCAAACTTTAGCTTTTCCCTTCTAGCCACATTGCCTAGCTTTGCCTCAGTATCTTCAATAAAATGAGGATTATAATAACACCTATCTTTCTGGTTATTTGAACATTAAATTTTAATAAAATAAACCGCATAGGCTGACATTGAGGATATTCAATAAATATTGAATAACATTTATTTCAAAACTTAAACCAAATTGATTGAAATATTCATGTTGCCTTGTGTTTGTGTGTATAAGTTTATTGGCATCATCGGGCACAGCTCTGTAGCCAGTGAAGCTTAGGCATTCTTGTTTGTGCTACAGCTGATTTCAAAATAATCAAATTTACTAAAATCTAAATATAGGACACATCACACATTCAGGTTTAAGTACAGACCAGTACTAAGTGACATTGATCTGTCAGATAGTTCTCTGATATTTGCTCAACTTAGTCTACCAAATGTGAGGATCAGTCCAGCCCCAGTGGTATAGGGGATGGCAGTGCTGCTGCAGAATGCTGGAAGCACTGGAGGACCTGGGTTTGGATCTTGGTCAATCTGAGCAGACTGACTGCAGCTGCACATACTTCAGATCCTGGCTAGGTGAGAGGATTAGAAAGCATTGCAGTATCATGAACGATTACATTTCCAAATTCTAAACTTCCAAGATGGGCAAATATGGAGCTGCTCCACCTCTTCGCTTCTAAACATGTGTAAATAGTAACATAATTTAATGTCCAGACCGGGACATGAAATGAGGGGGAAACTACCTAAACAAATTCAAAATATATGATAAAAACACTCAGCAAACTAGGAATAGAAGAAAACTTCTTTTACCCAATGAAAGCCATTTTAAAACAAAACAAACAAACCCACAGTTAACATAGTTAACAATGCAAAACGGAAGACTTTCC